CCCCAAAACCCCAAAACCCCAAAACCCCAAGTAATCTGTATTAAATTAATAGGAGCTAAATATCAGAAATTAAATTTAGATGTTAGCTGCAGATTTAATCTAATAAATTTTGAAACTTAAAAAATGCAAAGAGCTAAACCTTACAGATCAAGACCAACAGCTGTAAATTCATTTAAAAATAACTGTTACAGTATTTTATGCAGCTTTATGATAGTGCGCTAAACCTTAGAATGTATCTCGTTCAGGAAAATGGACCTACCAAATTAGTTTTAGAGGATATCAATTAAAGGAAGTTTAAAATTCAAATTGGCTCTACAATAAGCTGCTCATGTGGAGGAGGCAGAGAAGAGCATTGTGTTCACACTGTTAGTATAAATTTTAAATAATTATATATCAATCTAGATCTATGCATTAATCAAGATTTTTAGAATGGATGAGGCTGATGAGTTAATATGGCAGCTGTCATATACTGATGCTGAAATATCACAAATCATTTAAAACAGACATGCAATGCGTAACACACCATGGTAAAGACAACAGTAGTATTAATATCCTCTGGGAAGATAATAGTAGTCTAACTCATAATAACCACCGCAATGATGACCATAAAATGCCTATTAGCTAGAAGAACCAATGAATTAAAAGCCGAAGTAGGAGGATAAAAGATAAACAGTAAATAGAATGGTTTTAGACAAAGATGAACCTTGTTGTGTCTGCCATGAAAACATGAAAAAGGAAGACAATTTAACTTATTGTAAGTTTGGCTGTGGAAGGAATATTCACATCCAGTGTATTGAAGTTTGGGTTAAGCATAAAATAACTAACAAGCAGCAAATAACATGCCCTGTAATAATTAAATGCTTGTTCATATTTATAGTTGTGTAGAACTGATTGGGGAAGTAACGTCCTTGAAGAGCTGAAATAAGAAACCAAATAAAATTAAGAGAATCTGAAGAAATCAAAGTAGGAGGAATAGGCTTTAAATCCAAAGCCCTAGCTCCCTTAGAATGATAGATCATTCAAATGCTTTTGCTGTAAAAGAACACTTATATATGAAGGAAAATATCAATGTGCGATCTGTGAATCAATTGAGTTGTGTAAACTATGCTTTTCAACAGGTTATCATGAATAGCATGAATTTATTTTAAGACCTTCTGCAGATAAAGAATGGGAACCAGCTTTTAGATAAACTCAGGAACTAACTCTTGAGGAAAGGTCTAAGATTACTAATGATATGAAAACAAGAGATATTAAACCAGAGGATTATCTCAAATTATTGAGCGCTGAAACTAGAGCAAATATCATTTCTCTGCCTAAATATTTAGCATTAGCTTTTGAGAAAAATTATCCAGCAACATAGGAATACATGAGAATTGCAATAGCCTATTGTAATTTTTGTGAACTTAAAATTGACGATAAAACAAAAGGCTTGTCTTTCAAAAATTGTGATCATTGTGTACATAAAGGCTGCTTGGAAGATATGCTTAGATTGAAGAAAAATCACTGCTAGATTTGTGATTCTGTGATTCTGTAAGGATTTGAAAAGTCTATTAATATAGGTAAAATCCAAACGAATAAGGTATTGTTGCAATAGAAATAGATAGAGAATAAAAAATCTAATAACTTATTCTAAATTGAGGAGGAGAAAGATTAATCGTCTCCCTTAGATTAAAGCACTGTAAGTGTCAATGGGCAAGGCTATTCTAATTATTAAAATGGAGGTGCTCATTAACATTAATTTAAAATTAGAAATCATTCAAAGCTAAGTAATGGAAGTAAATTAATTACAGTAAAGCGCCAAACTGAAAATGGCTAAGTAAAAACTGAGAGCTTTCTAGACTTTAATTTCAAACTAAATGGCAAATAAATTCAAGGTGGGGTAAATAGTAGTTAAATTTAAAACTAGAATAGAGACAATTCAATTAATTATCAAAGATAAATCTCAATCAATGGGTAAATCCCAAGATAACCACCCTATGAAGAAGAAAAAGTTCCTGTAAACTTAGGCTTGGCATTTCAAGATAATAGCAACAACAATAGTAATTTTAACTCTTAAAATAATAAAAACAAATTAAGATTATAAAGAGATATCGAAGAGTATAAACAGTAGAGCAGTGGAAATGGCAACTACTCACTGCTTGATATCGGAGGATAAAACTTCAACACTCAATAAAACTACTTCACTCCAAGTTAGGACTTTCTTAACCATCAGTAGAAACAACATGAAAATACTGAGCTGTAGTAATAGTTACTAGATAGATTAAGAGATAAAAAGGTTAAGGAAACTTTGAGAAAGAGGGATAAGGATATGAAATTGAATAAGGCTAAATAGCTTTAAGAGAATGCGCCTTTGTCTAAGTATTACAGAGAGTAGATTAATAAGCAAGATTAGAATCATCCCTAATCAACAATATTACAGCAAAATGCATTACAGATAACTGCTAATAACGGGAGATCATCAGCTAATCAAAATTAAAGAACCAGAATAAATAGCAGAGGTAATTAAAGCAATCAAAGTAATAATCAAGGGTAAAAAAGAGATAAACAAAATTCAATAGATATTGAGGATTTTAGAGGATTCTTAGGCGATTTAAGTACTGATGTGAGCACGATAAACAAGGGTCGATTCAAAGTTAATCCAGCCAATAACTATAGTCTAATTGAAAACTCTATACCTAATCTTCCAGATGAGATGCTGCATCCTGATTTCATCAGAATGTAGAGATTAGGATATTTCAAGAGAGAATGATGAGAATATCATAATTATTAATGATAAATTAATCTTAATTTCATGAATTTTCCAAAATTTACACTATATATACCATACGGGGTTTTGGGGTTTTGGGGTTTTGGGG